GTTCATATTGAAAGACTTTAAATGGAAAAGTCAGTCCTTCTGACCACTTTGTAACATATGCATCTGAACTGGACTGCCACTGTAATTTTGGGGTTTTATAGCCCATTATTTTGGAAAAAAAACCCCAAATACAAACTTCACAGGTTATCATATAACTGAATGAAAAACACCCTATGTATATAAAATTCAGTGTGAAAGGTCAACAGTGGGCTGGATTCATTCTCTTAACTTATAAGCAGGGAAGCACCAAGACTTATTTTTATGCATCCTGATGATTAAAACAGAAATCAAACTAATAAAATTAACTCAAGCACAATGATCTGCCATGTTCTACTGCAGAAAATGACCCATTTTAAACACAAATAGGCTTAGGCATTTTTATAGCTTTTCAACAAGAAAATCAGAGGAACACAGTGTTCTATTTTTGTAAATAGGCATTGCCTTGATCTTCGTCATTTTGGTAAAGTGAACTCCTCTTAGTTACAAATTTTCTAATGCAAAGTAAAATCTGACCATGGATGAAATCTCACTTCAGAATTTTTAATCTACATACGCACTCATATAGGTATATGCATATTTACATGTAAATTTATGTATATACATATATATAATATGCACGTATGCTTACAAATACATATGCACATAGATACGGGTGGATAAAGAGAGCTTAATTCAGAGAAGTCTGTTACACAAAAGGAAAATTGGAACAGAAGTTTACAACTTGAAACAATCTAAAATCCGTCTCATCCTCTTACAAAACAGAATATGTTTGGCCTGCTCTTAAACTGGAAATTAAATTGCTTGTAACTGCTAAACTTCAGAATACTTAATAGAGCAGCGGTCTGCCTCCTTGTGTGTAATCCTTAATCGCAGAGAGAAGGATATGGTCCATGACCTGGTTGCCAGGCGACTGCACGGAATTACAAAACATTTTCTGAAGATGTGCTGCCCTGTGGTATGACGAGGCCGCACAGGGAAACAAACCCAGAGATGTGGTTCTCTCTGAACCTGGTCATAAAAGGGGTTTAGAGTATTCTAGAGAGACCAAGTAAGTGCGACTGTGACTTCGATTGTATAAACTGGAGTTCCTTTATGGCCATGTTCTTTATAAAGTTGAGTAACTACAAATCAGAGGAAATAGCAAGGTCTGTTTAGCTTCATCCCAGCGCTGGGATGTGAAACTACTCACTCTCACGGCTGGAATGAAAGAATGGTTATTGATCCACTGAGGGGAAAATATAAACACCTTCGCTAGTGACAAGCAATGTTAATGCTTGGAAGCATTATTGAGGGTGGGTAGTTTTTGGTTTTTTTTTTTTTCTTTCTTTCTTTTCAAAATCCTTGACTTTTACCACACAAACTCTTATACAGTCCAATGTCCTCCCTAAAAGATTTCTTTTTTTTTCCAGGTATAAATTGAAAAGAAGTTTTCTCTCAAACTGAGAAGATGTTAATATGGTTTTGAACTGCACTTCTCTGAGATACAACCAAGAAGGATAGATTTCACTCTAGACCTGTACCAGCCTCTCGATAAAAGAGTAGAATCTTCAGATTAGCAAGATTTGTTAAGCCATACCTACAAAATAGATCAGATATACCTACACCATATACAGATAAAAGATTAATTTATCCATCATTATTTTTCTTCGTTCTGTATCATTATGTGGATTATTCTAAAAATAGTAGGTATGAAGATAAGCAGGGATTCCCCCAGTCATCGTCTTCAAGAAGTCAAGCTGTTATCACACTGAAAACGAGTGGCAGTCAATGTCCCATCTGAAGGTAGTCAAGTAATCCTCTGACTAGACATAACTGATTTCTACAGCTTTAATCAAAGCAAGAGGATTAATTCTCCCCACCAACATAGCTTTGCTCAGTTCAATATCACCTGATCTTCACCGTCACCTAGGAAAAGGGACGTACGAAAGTGAAAGCATACATGCATGCAAACATACCCCAGATCACGATCCCCCAGCTAGAGGAAAGCTTCTTAAAAATAAACCTTTGGGAAACAAAACAGAAAGTAACCTTACAACACCCCACCCACCCCAATACTTTGTGTTGTTTTTCTGATGGTAAACAAATTTATTACATTAATTATCTGGTGGTGAAATGTCAATTACATGATGCACATTCCCAGAAAGCAGAGGGCTGCTCACCCATTCACAGGTTTCATGTATGTTAAAATAAATAAATAAATAAACAAAAGCTAGATTGTTGGTGAGCGATAAGGTACAGGTTTTTTACGTTGCGGACACCAACCCCAAGCCATCCCTTGACACAGCAGTAATAAGCAGTTATAACAAGAGTAGATATGCTGTCAGCACTGCTGAATTCTTCGGAAAGGTGAACCGAATGCCAGGCAGGACAGCTTACCTCATTCCTCTGCGACGCGTACATGAAGACCCATGTCCTTTCTAGACAAATGACTGAAACAGTTTCAGTGACATTTTCAGCCCATACCTTAGATATTTCAGTTAAGGTGTGTCATACGCAAAGAAATGTTGGTTTTGACATAACTAGAAATTAGCGCCAGGTGCAGATATGACAGGATCACAAGTCTCTTGCTCTGAAAATTTTGAAATACAGCAGACTGTCTTCAGCCAGGTTTGCTGTGGCTAGAACTGAAATGCAGCAGGTGTCTGCTATGTGGCCCACATTTGCCTGAAACAAACGCATATGGTATTTGATAGGTACGGTTTGATGATGAATGATTTTAGGATCAGAAGCGATCCTTTCTGATTTCTGATTTTGTGGCCAGGATTTCACTTCTTTTGACACTTAACATGGATAATCTTTTCTTTGATAGTAGCACGACTTTGTTGAGCAGTACTTTGCCATCATTTGGTCAGCTCATGAGTTTCTTTTCTTTTTAAAATTGTTGTAATTTCTCCATTCTGAAATATCTACCTACCATTCTGAAATATCTACCTTTGAGTAGAGGAGCATATACAACACATCAGGGTGAAATATTATTCACACCAGCAAGGAACGGACAGCTGTTGGATGAGACTCTTGAAGGATAGGTAAACCCTTAAAAGGGGAAACTGAAGCAGAGTGCACCACTAAATGAAATAAAAGATTTGTCTATCTGCTTTTTAAACTGATTCAAAAGCAAGGAAAAGCAAACTAATACAAGTAAACTACTTTCAATCTACTAAAAGTTGTAATGTGCTGCTGTGTGTAGTAAGAGGAAGGTGGGAGTTTACAAGTTACAACTGCTTAAAAGACTTCATTGCAAGAGGAAAACAAAAAAGCATTGCAGTGGGCAATTAACTGTTCCTAAGGCACTAGTTCTTGAACAATCTGCGTCTCAACAAGATGAGGCATATGAATTCCTAAATTAGACCAATAATGACATACATACAAAGAAGCAAAAGCACTTGCTCTTCCTTCTTTCCCCTTCGTTTCTGCTTTCTCATCATAAGGTATGTGACCCATGAGAAACTGGAAGAACTGAGGAGTCACAGAGCTCACCCCAACCAAAAAACTTCTCTCTGCTGGAGCGACCAAGGGCCACCTGTAGTGGACAAAATGGGGTTTTACCATTTAAAGTATATTTATCCTGTGCAGATCAGCACAAATGTGAGGGATGGAATTGACTTCCCATGACTAGTACTCAAAGCTGTAAAATTTTAACTCGGTTCTACCTGCAAAAATTTTTGCTTGGATCCTAAAAGCCATGACTCTATCTCCATCCCTTTAACTCTGCATTTCTGTCAACACATCAGTGCTCAAAAATGGACTAGTTGTGATAGCAGTTAGAAAAAAAACAACCAAACAAACAGCTTTTATTGTTTAAGTAAGCAGATCTGAAATGGTGTTACTGAAAGGTAAGTATACATGGACCCCCACTGTTCCATTTTTACAGTTGCTTTTATGAGTTGTATTGTACTTCAACTATGTTTACACAGATATTTTTTTTCCCCCCACATTAGCTGCCCCTTAATTCTTAATTTGATTTATAACCTAATCTGCCATAAAGGTACATGAAATAGAACAGACTGAGAAAATGCTTGAGAATGGCTGTTGTTTACGAAGAAACTAATATATAGTATGCAATTACTGACCCAGTTGAACAAGAGTTCAAAAACCGGACTGTATTACAAAGCATTTCTTCAAACATCCATTTTGGATTATTGCTGGAAGGTACTAATTGGTCTATTCTAGACTAATTTACAAACATTCATAAAATAGTGAAAAATGCATGCTTTAGAAACCCGGTACATTTCATGCCTCTGGACTAAAAAGAATATGAAGATGGAAGCAAGTGATGGGCATTTTTAGTGTAGATTAGTAGTGCTTAGAGTTTTTTTTCTTTTGTACTAACAGACTCTTCAATTTTTTTCTCATTTCTTTCAGGTGATTTTTTATCTTCAGGTTTAGTCCACGGAGGGCTGTGCAACTTCTGCTGAAGGTGAAAAATAGCATCAGTGTAAGCATTGCATACACAATATGCACATACATAAGCAAATTGAAAAGTGTGTTAAAAATAGTGCTCACAGAGCTGTGTTTCTGTTAAACTGATGTACCACTTTTAAACTACTACAACAGAATACGATATTTGTCAACTGCGTCTAGAAAAGGATCCTGATCTCTGCTAAAGGAAACCTATTGAACAATCTTTGACAGTGCAAAACCATACAAGTCTGATGCTGCTTTATAATCGTGGTGATTTTTAGCTTTTTCTCTTGGTCTATCAAATGAAGAGCTCAGGTGTACAACTTGCTTAAGACTGTTCCATTGGTACCATGGCTGAATACAGCTTCACATCATTGCAGATATATAATAATTTTGGAAATTTCTCCCTTCTCCTATTCCCAGGGCTATGGACATCATGTTATCAAATCAAATCATTTGACTACTAGGCTAGTCCAGTTCTTCAGGTATTAAATAGGTTTGCAAATTGTTACCAACCAGAAACCATTTTGAACAGATGAATCGCAATTAGGTACAGTCAAAGTCTGAACTGAGAAAGCAGGTCTGTCTCAAAAGCGTTAGCGTGGAAAGCATAAATATACTTCAAGTAATTGCATGCTTTACAAGACCATTTAATAAAAAGCCGAGAATTTCTCAGAAACAGAATACCTGAAAGCTTGTATCTGTTTCTGCTGTCTTCAAACGAGATGTTGAATTATTGCGATTCCCCAAACATGTCTTGCCAACCTGTCAATACAAATGTCAGAGATAACTACTTCATATTTTTTCCTAAAATATTCATGGTTTAAAAAAAAAAAAAAAACCAGTGGTTTTTTTTTAGCCTAGTAAATGAAATGGAGCAAAACAAAATTTTCATAGCTAGGCAAATCCCTTACTCCCATCGTCCCTATAACAGTCTAATGCGGCTGCAAGTTTAACAACTTAACCCTTACCTGTTTTTTTTTCCTCATTTTTAAATCTCATCACAAATAGTGATGCTTATTGCTACAGTGGTCCCATGGAACCGATAAGTAATTATAATTGCCTGTGATGGGTGAGGAAATAGTAACAAACAGCTGAAAACTAGCATTAGTTAGGACTTCTCTATTACTATTCTCTTGTCTAAACTGCTAGACCTCTTAGGTATAATGATCCCTGAGTGGGGATATGTATAATAATTCCCTGAATGGGGAAGTCAGATGACTCTCAAGGTACAGAAAAGCTTGTTAGATTCATCACTCTTATTTTATTCCAGCAATAATGTCATTTTCTTTGCCAATATGCTTTTTAATATCACAGAAAACAGAGTCGAACAGCATAAATAAAATTAATTACACAGTACATTTTTGAACCAAAGAGATCTCGTGTTACGAGTCTTAAGTAGAGATTTACTCAGCACTGAAATTTCTGCTGTAATTTAATTAAAGTCCCTTCAGGAGTGGGATTAATGATGCCATAGGTGAAGAAAATAAAATGTGAAATACAGTAAAATATTGATAATCTTTGGTCATTACTTTAAAATGTGTTCACATTGGAATTTCTCTACTTGTTTTGCTATTAAAACTGATACATTTAAATGGAGGGAAAATAAATGAGGGCTTTTTTAAAGTCATTAAGACTCTTTCCAACATAACAGTAATTTTGTTTACTTTAAATTTTAACGTAACACTTCCTCTGAAATATTTCCTGTTTAGCATAAGCCCTTCAAGATTTTTGAAGCTAAATCAAGCCTAAATAGACTATTTTTTACACATTAGACATGATCCAACATATTAATGAAAAAAAGGTGAAAAAATAGTTTGTATATGGACATGAGCTTTGCTCATAGGAATATGAATGCAATCATACCTTCAACAAGAAAGTCCCAATAATATCCACTACAGGGTTTGCTGGCATTTCTGCAACTTTTTTTTTTTTTATTTTTATATTACAGTTATTAACATTGGTCTAGGACAGAGTAAGCTATTTGTGTCAAGGACAGCAAAGGAATCGTGAAGAAAAAAAAAAGATCTTTAAATGTTATGCTTTGAGGCATTTTTTTTTTTTTGACAGACTTTCTTAAGAAAACAGAAAGTAAACCTGAATTCACCCTATTGCAGCTAAAATCACGACACAACAAAAATTACCTCACTGAGCAGAGAACACTGAAAATAAACACCCTAATATGAAAATTAAATGTCAAGAAATTTTATAAATATCCATTCAGTAGAAATAACATTGGATTGGAGTTAATTAAAAAGTAAGAGATTGACAAGGGGGATGAAAATCCATTAAGGTTTTGCACTCGAGAAATTCTGACAGTCCCATGCCTGTAACAAAGTTGATCTATGAACAGGTGTGAATACGAAAATGAAACACGTTATTAAGAAAACTACTTGGAGAGGAGATGGCTGCCTCCCTCCTGAAAGCTTCTAGAGAGACGGTGGTACTGCCAAGGATTTTATAGTACTTCAGGGGGGCTTTAGTCATGTTTAAGCTACTGAATTAAGCCTCTGAGATGGTGCATTTGAAGTGATTGACGGTGGGGACTCTTTTTCAAATTTTTCCCACTATACACAATAGCTAATAAAAGTTGGATTAATATTACATTATAGGGAATAATCAGGGTACTATTGATTAAAAAAATAAATCTATTGATAAAGCACCTACTCCTCCTTTTATGAAAAAAATCAAATAACAAGAGGTGGTTTACATTCTAGATAAATCCTAAAGAGTGAGATGACAAAGAGTAGGAATTTTTAATAAAATTTTAATACTTCAAAAGCTTAAAAATGTGGTCCTGGCAGGACTTGTGTTTAATATATTTACTAGTGAGCCAGATTAAAAAAATGTTTTCAGCTTAGTCATATTTAGAAAAATTTGAGGGTTTCAGAGACTTCTAGGTGAGCAGCTTGAGGACAAAAGATGTTACAGGTCAAAAGAGGAACAGCCTTGCAGGTTGTGTAATGAAGAGGACAGAAATAATGCTAATGAAATATAAGAGCATTTACAAATCCATAATTTACTCTAACTGTCCACATTAAAAAATATTCAGATAATCTATTTCACCAAGACAATACATAGGAGATAGGAATCCAAAAGTATTAATTGAAATTAAAAATATATGTCAACATTTAAGACATATATAAAAGAAAAAATAAGTTTGCCTTACAGAAAATAAAAGCTAATGATATAAAAATGCTTTATCAGTGACTAATCTTTCATACTCTTTTCACAGACCAGATAACAAAGGCCATCTTGGTAGGAAAACAGCAATGAAGATTTATGTCTGTAGTATTTCATATTTGTTCACTCACAGTTGTTTTCTTTTTAGTAACACACCATATGGATCACTGTTGGAGAAAAATAGTAGAATGGGACATTTTTCTGAACAAGCAACTCCTATGTCTTTATGTTGTTAAAACATAAAACATTCATTATTGATTCCTTGTCCCAGTGAAAACTTGTATATCATTAACAAATAAATTACAGATCGAACAACAGCGATGACTTTCAATATGCCATCAGTTAACAGCAGCTCAATAGCCAGAGTTGTAACCAGCCACTACGGATGAGCTGTATACATCCACTGGCTCTCGGCTTTAAGTCAGTTCAGTTCTTAAAGCTGAGACAGATGGGGATAACAGTGTCGTGGTTAAACCCCAGCCAGCAACTGAGCACCACGCAGCCGCTCACTCACTCCCCACCTCAGCTGGACAGGGGAGAGAAAATGTAATGAAAGGCTCGTGGGTCGAGATGAGAACAGGGAGAGATCACTCAACCAATTACCGACATGGGCAAAACACACTCAACTTGGGGAAAATTAACTTAAATGTATTACCAATCAACCAGAGTAGGGTAATAAGAAACGAAACCAAATCTCAAAACACCTTCCCTCCACCCCTCCCTTCTTCCCAGACACAACTTCACTCCTGGATTCTCCACCTACCCCCGCAGCAGCGCAGGGGGACGGGGAATGGGGGTTGGGGTCAGTTCATCACACATTATTTCTGCCGCTCCTTCCTCCTCAGGGGCAGGACTCCTCACACTCTTCCCTGCTCCAGCGTGGGGTCCCTCCCACGGGAGACAGTCCTCCACAAACTTCTCCATCGTGAGTCCTTCCCACAGGCTGCAGTTCTTCACAAACTGCTCCAGCGTGGGTCCCTTCCCACGGGCTGCAGTCCCTCAGGCACAGCCTGCTCCAGCGTGGGTCCCCCGCAGGTCACCAATCCTGCCAGAAAACCTGCTCCAGCCTGGGCTCCTCTCTCCACGGGGCCGCAGGTCTTGCCAGGAGCCTGCTCCAGTGCAGGGTTCCCACGGCGTCTCAGCCTCCTTCAGGCATCCCCCTGCTCCGGCGTGGGGTCCTCCCCGGGCTGCAGGTGGAGATCTGCTCCCCCGTGGACCTCCCTGGGCTGCGGGGGGACAGCCTGCCTCACCATGGTCTTCCCCAGGGGCTGCAGGGGAATCTCTGCTCTGGCGCCTGGAGCATCTCCTCCCCTCCTTCTGCACTGACCTGGGCATCTGCAGGGTTGGTTCTCTCACATATTCTCACTCCTCTCTTCAGCTGCAGTTTCTGTTGCTCAGGGTTTTTTTCTCCCCCTTCTTAAATCTGTGCTCCCAGAGGCACTACAACTATTGCTGATGGTGTCGGCCTCGGCCAGCGGCAGGTCCGTCTTGGAGCCGGCTGGCATTGGCTCCGTCGGACATGGGGGAAGCTTCCAGCAGCTTCTCACAGAAGCCACCCTTGTAATCCCCCCCGCTACCAAAATCTTGCCACGCAGACCCAATACAAAGAGCGACTCCTGCTATAACTATAAACTGGGTTTGACACAACCTAAACCGAATCCCATCCATATACACCCTCACGCATATATACAAACACATGCCTATATATATACACACCTGTATAAATATTTATGTGCTTCTCTATTTATGTGCAGGTATATGTATATATAAACACATAAATATACAAACATACACCCCCTCCCTTCCCCTCAGCTAAAGACCACCTCAGATAAATGGGGAGATATAAAACCAATGCACTAGAATAACTTTCACAGCCATGAGTGACATGCAGGCAAAAAAGCCAAATATTACACTTTTTTTTTTTTTTTTGCAAGTTCCCTCTGTGCCAAGTGGTGGTAAGAATGTTTTGTTTGCTCTTCTGAGCGAGTGTCTCTTTGTCAGATTCACTCCTGTGAGAGGTACGCTAATTACAAAAATACAGAATGATAGCTTGACGTGGTGGAAACTAGTGAAAAGCAAAAATAATTGCTTTTGGAAAACAAATGGGTTGAAACACTGTCAGCATGGTTTTTCTGTTTTATGAAGATGAGATTTTAGAAGTGCCTGCTGGAAGAGATACTGGGATTTTTCCAAGTTTTGAATCGAGATTTCAGCGTATCAGGAACGCGAGGGCAAACTTGTACCTGGGTGTTTGTCCCGCAAGAGCAGGCGCTCCAGCAGCCCTGTTTGGAAGCGGGAGGGTGAGGAAGAGGAGAATACTGGGAAGATGCCGACTCCGAAAACCTCTGTGCAGGACAGTTACGTTTCCAATGCGCAAACCGTCTAACACCACGGAATAGAGAGGAACGCACCCTTATCCCTCGTAACTCACTGTCTTCACTCCTTGCACCGCCAAGGAGGACGAAGCATGGCACAAAACGATTCCCCCCTCAACGTACGCTTGTACAGAGATACACACACCTGGGCAAAAAGCAACTTTCCCCATTTCTGTCAGAGAAGATCAATTGCTATTCTTCCAAAGA